AGCCACGTCCCGACCCGCGCCCCGTGTGTGCTATGCCACGCCCCTCCCGTCCCTCCAGCGGGTCCCGAGGCGCGGAGCAGCTGACAGGGCGGGACCCCTGCCGCCGACTACTATTGGTCACGAGCCAAGACCGGGGGAGGGCCTGTACACTCCAAGTTGGCCAATCCGCCGCGGCTGTGGGAGGCACCACCCTGCCGGGCACCCGCCCCTTGTTCCATGACACGACTTGCTATTGGTCTAAGGCGCATGACGCACAGGCTGCAGGCCACGTGGTGGTGTTTTCATGGCCTGGGCTGCCCAGCGAAGGCGAATGGAAGAGCGAGTGCGGCTGGGTCCGGGCGTGCTGGCGCCTGTCCAGCACCTGCGTCCGGGCCATCGCAAAGGGGACGGGCGGACGCACTCGCTCCCGCCCCCACCCAACCCCCTGCCATGTACACTTACAGTATTTAGTCGAGAGCATTAGACGCTAAAGCCCCACCCTTCCTGGAGTCCTCAAGTTGCTTTGAGAAAAGTTCTTAAAATGGGTTGCAATGACCAGATAGGAAATCATCTTATCTGCCTCCCTGAGGTTGAGAACTTACAACACGTCAAATACTTTATTAACTGTGTATATCCTCTAGTTAAATTCTTATAAAGACCTCGGTGGAAAATACAATTGTGCCCAATCTGTAGTAGAGGCAACTGAAGCACTGAACTGGCTAAATAATTTGTCTAAAGTAACAATACCTAGTAGGATGTGTATTTGTTTTCCAGATGACTCTGATAAACAGTATTTGGCAAGACCTAACCCATCTGTAGCAGGGGGGAAAATGAAAGAAAATGTGTATAGAATGGTGTAATTTACTAAATGGATCATGCCTTGAAGTCGCACAATTTGAAACTCAGATAATGGGAGTTGAAGCTGTTAGAGGATCTCTTTCCCCAAGCTGAAGACTGTGCATGTTGCCACATTGCCATACTGATTTACCGCCTACAGGCTTGGGGATAAAGAGCTCTGCCAGGGACCAGCAGATGGCATAATGGTTATGTCTCTGGACTCCACATGGTCAAGTGTGCTCCCAGCCCCAGACCGCAGCTTGAAACTCAGGCCTATGATGTGTGCGTGCCCAAAATCTCGAAAGGAGAATGGAGGAGAAAGGATTGCAGTGTGGCCGTCCATGCTGCAGAGTGATTTCTCTCTCTGTCTCTCTGGTGAGCGCATGTGCCCTATAGCAAAACTCTCTGTCAAAAAAAAAAAAAAAAAAAAGAGTTCTGCCAACTTTGGCTTTCTATAATGCAAGACAAATTTTTAATTCATAGATCTGCACATTTTGAGGAGAAATTATATATAGAAAGTGTGTGTGTATGTGCATGTGTGTGTACATATATATATATATTTTTTTTAATTTCCTGTAGGATGCTTGCTGGAGAGACACAGAGAAGGGAAGTGAGAAAACAACCCTAGGGGGAATGGCCACATTCCATTTTCTTCTTTCTTAGTCTCTTGAGATTTTAGGCATGCACACACACCGCCCAGTGTGTCTTTCAAAACGCTGTGTCTGGGACTTAAACTGCACAGTTGGTCAGGTAGAATCCAGCGGCCTTAACCACCATGTCACCAGGTGGCTGGGCCAGAGATGAAATGATAAGTATTTTCATACTACAGCATTTCAAGTTGGTATAATACAAGTTTACCTAATTTGTAACAAAGTCGAATGCTTTTATTTTTAAATTTTACACCTAGAATGAACAAGCAAAGAGCCCTATTTCACATAAGCTTTTTTGGTTGGATTTCTGGTTTGGGTTTTCTGAAATGCAAATATAAGTTTCCTTTCTCACATCTATTATTCTTTCTTTCCACTGGGTAAAAAATAGTTCAGCTCATAAATAACAAATATTGATTGCGAGGTGTTGTACAAACCATCCTAAATGAAAAGAACTGCTGTTTGGATGTTTTAACTGAGTCATCTTTGTAACTTTGCAGATCAAAGGTGCTTCCCTTCCCGGATCCCAGCTCAGCCAGAAGCTGCATTCCTTTTTGTTCTGTTTGGAAAATGAGTCTGCCATGCTAGGTGCAGGGTTGTTGGAAGAACTGCACAAAGTATACAGTAACGTTTTAGAGTGGAAGCTTTTTATCAGTTTGTTATTAAGAGTTTGGACTTTATAGGGTAGAGTTGGGAGCTGGTGTTTATTTTTGAGTGGGAGTGTTTCATGATAAAAGCAGTGTCTTAGGCAGATAAACTCGGACAGGGTGTACACACAAGTTAGAAGTGGGAATGGCCTAGAAGTCTTTAGAGGACTAATGTGAAATTCTAAGAGTGAAGAGATGTGAGAGACCAAGCTAAGATGGTGGCGTCAAGGCCAGAGAAGTTAGGACAAATCCACTGGATGGTTGAGGTAGTGCTGTTCAATAGAAAGATAATATGAGCCACAACTGTAAACTCCATATATAATTTGAAAATTTCTAGAAGACACTTTAAAAGAGGTTTAAAAAAAAAAAAAAGAAATGGACAAATTGAGGGCCAGCAGGTGATGTGGTAATTAAAGCACTGGACTCCCACATGATCAACCACAGGGTGGCTTAAAAATCAAGCTGAGAGTTAGGACCAACAGATAGCATAATTGTTATGTCTCTGGACTCCCACGTAGTCAACTGCAATTTGAATCCTGGACCTGGTGGCTTAAACTCACACTGAGCGCGTGTGGAAGATCTTCAGAGAAGAATGGAGGAGAAGAGATGGCGGCGTGGCCATCTCACCAAGGGGCAATTTCTGTCTCTTTGTCTCTCTCTGTATTTCCAACGAGCACACGTACCCTATAGCAAAAAACTCTCAAAAAAAAAAAAAATCAAAGGAGGGGGGCCAGGAGGTGTTGTAATGGTTAAATTGCTGGACTCCCATATAGTTGACTGAGGTTTGAGTACCAGACCCAGTGACTTAAAACTTATACTGGGCACGTATGCGTATGTGCCCAAAATCCTGAGAAGAGAAAGGATTGCAGTATGGCTATCCCCCCCAGGAGTGATTTCTTGCTTCCTGTCTCTCTGGCAAGTGCACATACCCTATGGTAAAAATCTCTCTCAAATAAAGAAAAAAAATATCATGCCAAGTACATGTGCATATGTGCCCAAAATCCCAAGTTCTGCCCCGGAGAGAGTGGGGGGGGCCCGCCGCCTTGGCGCGGGGCTGAGCCCCCCACCCCTGCGCAGGGCTGGTCACTTTCCCTTTCATATGTACCCTATAGCAAAAACCTAAGAAAAATACATTTTCAAATGGACAAGTCAGTTTTGGTAACTCATTTTAATTTCGTTCTTTCATGAGATGAGAGACAGAGACACATGGAGAGAAAGACAAAGATCCTCAACAGGGTCTTACACTATGATTCCCCCCACCAGTCTTCGTGGCCAGCATGTTGACTTTGGAACAGAACTAACAGTCTTCCATGTGGATTCAGTATCTCTTGAGCAACGTATTACTGCTGCATTACTAAGCTGGCCCTCATTTTATAGTATATTAAAATATATTTCTTGTCACCTATGAACTTATCAACATATTAAAATACATTATATTTTCAACATAATACCACTTTAAGGCCAGCAAGTGGCATGCATGTTGGGGCAGTTAGATCCCACATAGCCAGCTGTGTAGTTAGGTACCAGACCAGCTACTTGAGAATCCTGCCAGGTGTGTATGTGTGTGTGTGTGCCCAAAGTCTCAAGAAGGCAGGGGACTATGGCATGGCCATCCCCGCTGGAGGGTGATTTCTTACTTTCTCTCTCTCTCTGTCTCCCTCCAGGGAGCAGGCACACCCTGTAGCAAGCTAAAAAAGTTTTTTTTTTTAAATATCATTTTTATAGGTAATCAATATAAAAGTATTAATTTGTTCATGTAGATATTTTGACCTACATATTCAAAAATTGAGTGACTTTCCCTTATGCATCTCTCCATTTGCACCAGGTGCACGTTGAGTGCTCGTGTGACTGGTGGCTCCCTTATGTTTCAGTGGGGTTTTGAGGGAATAATCAGCAGAACAGGGTGTCTGATGACGAAGGGGCAGTGGCAAGAAAGAAGAGAGAAGAGTCCAGGCTGAGTTCAGAGTAAGAAAGGGGAAGTCCATTGTGCTACGTTTAGAAACGCATCTGTTGGCAGGTATTTGGAAAGAAGTGTTCAATTTCTGACATATTACAGTAGTAGCAGAACTGAATGCTCTCTGGAATTAAGGTTCAGGTCTAGAGAAATAGGCGTGGTCAAAAACTAGCCACCTGTCCAGCTCTACCTTCCTGTGAGAGATCTCCCTTCTGTGTTTTCTGCTGGGTTAATGGCCCTTGTCCACCAC